AGCAGGTTTAGGGGCAGGAAAGATGACTTGTGTGTGTAACAGCTGTTTCACAGACAGATGAAGGGACAGATGAAGTGAGCTTTGCAGAACAGGGATCCAGCTATTACAGAGAAACCTCAGGGAGCAAGAAGACTTCAGGAGGCAGAAGCAAAAATGGCAACTCTTCCTTCCGCATTCTGGCCCCCTTGGGACCTGCTTTTCTTTCCCAGCTACCGTGGGATACAGGACCTCTGTACCCCATCTATCTCTTTCTAGAATCAGCGGTCCTATCAGACAAAAAGCAGTACTACACTCTTATTTGCTACCTACTCCTCTGCAGGCACTTAGAAGTCAGGAAGAAAGCAAGAAACAGCTAAAGTTAGGCCTCATTCCTAAGGAAGAACTGTACAGGACAGCTCAAGAGTGCTGGCAACAGGGGTTGCCCTTAACACAACTGATCTCTGGTCCAATTAAAAGGAAAAAGGAGCCCAAACTGTAGCAACCAAAGCCTCTACCCATAATGTCATCTAATCTGCTTTACACTAGCTGCCAGTTTCAAGTATCTTAATAAAGAATTGTTCATAGGCCACAAGATTTAATATGTGTCATGGTTTAAGCACAGTTTCCATGGTAAGGCCTTGGGTCTTACCCAAGTCCCCCCCTTCCAAGGAAAGGGGACCAAGATAAGTGGAAGCAAATCCACAGTACATTCTGACAGATTGTATGGCAAGGGAGGACTCCATGATGTTACATGGCACAGGGGCTATTTCAGGATCCCCAGTGCCCTGGGACATGCAAACCTGTTGCTTGTCTCTGGGAAGGCTGATTGTTTTTGGCGGTTCGTTTTACATGCTCTCTGGGTTAAGTTTTAAGTCCTTGAATTTAAGCCTGGATCAGACTTTCAGTGCTTTGGCTTTAGCAGTCATTCTGCTAGTTGATACAAGGCAATATCACTGCCCAGAAGGGAACCTCGCACGCTAATGTGATTAGTCAGACAGACCTACATAGGCCTGCATGTGCTACACAGTACCCGAGTTTCTTTATTCCTCTTATAGCAAGAAAGGATAGAAAAATCTTTATTTCAAAGCTTTTTACTATGATCAAAGTTCAGCTTTCAACACATGCAAGCCTGCATTATGGCTTTCCTTGGATGAGTTCTGTGAATGCAAGTCTTACATCCAGGCCAGTCTGCTCTGACCATTTCTGCAGGCATTTAATAAACTGCTTGCTTTATAGGCTAAATTTCATCCTTTTAGGGTATCTGAGAAAACTGTAACCTGTAACTTACCTCTGTGTTTACTTATATAAGGCAGAAGTGGGAAAAGTTATTTGTTAGTAGTATTCCAAAAACCAAAAGCATTTACAGAAAAAATAAGCAATTAAGGGCTTCTTCCATGAAATAGGAAAGTACTCAGCAGTTCTGAGCCACAGCAACTATCAAATTTCATAGAATCATAGAATAGTTAGGGTTGGAAAGGACCTTTGGGGCATCTAGTTCCAACCTCCCTGCCATGGGCAGGGACACCTCACACTAAACCGTATCACCCAAGGCTTCTTCCAACCTGGTTTTGAACACTGCCAGGGATGGGGCATTCACAATCTCCCTGGGCAACCTATTCCAGTGCCTCACCACCCTAACAGGAAAGAATTTCCTCCTTATATCCAATCTAAACTTCCCCTGTTTAAGTTTTAACCTGTTACCCCTTGTCCTGTCACTACAGTCCCTAATGAAGAGTCCCTCTCCAGCATCCCTATAGGCCCCCTTCAGATACTGGAAGGCTGCTATGAGGTCTCCACGCAGCCTTCTCTTCTCCAGGCTGAACAGCCCCAACTTTCTCAGCCTATCTTCATATGGGAGATGCTCCAGTCCCCTGATCATCCTCGTGGCCCTTCTCTGGACTTGTTCCAACAGTTCCATGCCCTTTTTATGCTGAGGACACTAGAACTGCACACAATACTTCAAGTGAGGTCTCATGAGAGCAGAGTAAAGGGGCAGGATCACCTCCTTCAACCTGCTGGTCACGCTCCTTTTGATGCAGCCCAGGATACAGTCGGCTTTCTGGGCTGCGAGGTCACACTGAAGCTGGCTCATGTTAAGTTTCTCATCAACCAACACCCCCAAGTCCTTCTCCACAGGGCTGCTCTGAATCTCTTCTCTGCCCAACCTGTAGCTGTGCCTGGGATTGCTCCGACCCAGGTGTAGGACCTTGGACATTTCAGGCCTTATCAAAAAAAGCAATCAGAGATTCTAAGAACAGAGAAAAAGTTTGTAACACAGACATGCCCTTCCTGACACTTTTTGCCATTACACAGGTAAAATGAAGAACAGCCTGTCTTTGCTCCCAAAAATTCTTACCTGTGAACAAGGGTCATAAATTTCCAAGTGTATCTGCCTCCCATCCAGGCATAAGTGTTTAGTGTAGATGCATTCTAAAAAATATATAGTATGCAAAGAAAACCAGCATTAGTAACTGGGAATGGTGGTGAAAAGGCAGCAAAAGTGAGACTGGGTAATACTGAAGGTTCCTTGAGTATTGTCGAGATTTTCAAGGAGTCTGGGTGGTTTTTCGTGGTTTACTTTTGGGGGGTTTTGTTTGGTGGTTTCTTTTGATTTATTTTTTGTTTGGTTTGTGGTGGCATTTTTTGTTAGGTTTGTTTCCAGTGTGTATTTAAAACAATTTCATTTTCAACACCCGAATTGCCCAGCCCCTTAAACTGACCACCATTTCACTGTGGTGTTCTGTCAAAATGTTGATGTAATGAATACTGTCAGATCCTAGATTTCCTCTTCCAAAATCTAGGTAAACTGGATGTACAACATTTAGAGTCAGCTAAATGCTGATGATTTCTCAGCTTGATACCAAGGCTCAGTGTTATGGAAGTAATAAGCAGGCTATGTGTAAGTTCCGATTCTGTACAAAAATCATTATTTAGTCATAATGTTTATTTACCATGAAATCTGGCACTTTAAGAGTTTTCGTAATAGGCAGCATTAAACCAATAGTATTTACAGTACAGGATCGTGTCCTTAGACCAGATCCTAAAATATTTCTGTAGTGCCACTTCTCAGATTTAGGACTTTGCAAGACCACTAGCAACCCTTGTCGACGGACTGTTACTATTATTTTAAACTGCTTTTTCTAAGCAACTGTAACCAACTTGTGTTCATGGCACTAGTCATCAATAGGCTGCCTACAGTATAATTTCTCACGAATTACTGAAATACAAAGACAAGAAATGGTTTTGGCACTACTGAAAATACACTTTAAACTGTGTATTAAGTGCATAGATAAGGTCTCCAATCTCTGGATTTAACATCTTCAGTACCATACTCATCTTAAGTGTTCTCCATGTGCATCGTAAGAGTTCATGGTGAGCTACCAGCCCAAAGCATCTCAGGGTATTAAAATATGCAGCCTTTTGGTGGTTTCCATAATTAAATTTTTAACACATACTTTGACTCTACTGACAGTGGGAGGTTCTTTATCACCCATATTCCCACTTTACTCCCCCTTCCTCCTCTCTAGAAACAGATCTAAACTTATCTTCCAACAACCATTTGTTAACAAATGAAAATGCTTTGGGGGTTTTATGTGCCTTTTCTGAGACTTGCAGTACTGGAGGATCAGAACAAGGAAACCTGGTTTTAGTTTAGATTACTTAAAATACAGAAAGCACTACATAACTTCATAAGTTACACATGACAGCTTAGAACTGGATAAGCCATCTGGGACACAAACTGCCCTTTCAGTCTGTGTTTGTATAGTAACAAGTATCAGTAGAGCATTTATGCACAACTGTAACTCCACTTTCAGAATAAGTTCATTTGGGTATTTTCAATGCATTTCAGCTTAGTACTACTATTTTACATTTCATTTATTAACCTTGGGAAGCTACTCTTTTTGTAAAAAAATGGTTTTGGAAAGACCCCTCCACTTTAGCAGGGAAAGTGAGGCAGGCAGCAATCTCCATACCCTGTTAACTTCTGGGATTTCTCATACTCCAGAAGCTGGAGCGGCAGACTTCCAAAGGTGTATCAGTTAAATAATGCTTCCATCCAGGATGCAAAAGTTCAAATCCTGCTTTGCCATCTCCCAGGACCTCACAAGTGTCCTAAGGATCAGTGTATTTGTTCTGGCATGAATGAGAAATTCTATCCTCAGCATGACAAGGCTTTCCACAAAGCTATCAAATCAGACCACTCCTGCAAAAGCAGTAGGCTTTGCATTATGCTTTAATTAACCAGTAGTGCCTGATAAACAATCAGTTTCACCTCTCCTCTGGAACTGAGGAGAAGATATGCAACAGAACAGGTATTGGGGCTGTTTGGTTTTTTTTCCAGTCTATTTCTTTACTCTCTATCTCCTCTCAGATTGAGTTTACTATAATCTACCCACGCCTCGCACATGCAGCCTTGTTATCTTTCCTTCCTAAGCCCCTCCGCGGTTGCTTTGTGACAAGCACCGCATCAGCCCGCTTGTACTTACTGGAGTTTTAAGTGATCTCTCCATAGACACCTGGCTCACCTTCTCCCGCCTTCAAGCTCACACTTCATTAGGAACTATCACTGATAAGCAAGCAGAAACTTAAACCTTTCCGAGAAGTTCTGTGGAACTGCGTTTCTACCCAATTCCTTGTTCAAGTGTTTGAAGCTTCGCATTTTGCCTTCTCCCCCACACGGCCCCGGGTGGAGGCCCCACACAGCACCACCCGCTCCCGCCGCCTGTCCCCAGAGGCTCACCAGCGTTGGACGCGTACTCCCCGATGAACCGCCGTGTCAGAAACCGCACCGCCAGCGCTGCGGGAGAAAAGAAGTACACTCCACATTTAATGGGGTTCCTCCCGCCCGCCGCACCCAAACCCGTGGTGAGGTCAGGCTGGGGCCGCCCTCCTCCCTGCCTTACCCGACTTGCCGGCTCCGCTGCCGCCCAGCACGGCCAATTTCACTTCGGTCATACCGCCACCAGGCCACTTACCGCCGCCTCCATTTCTTTATAGCCGCCGGGCCGAGCACAGCTCCCCCGGTGACACCGCCCAGCAGCCCGCCTTCGCCCCGCTCCCCCCGCCATTCCCTGGCCGCTTTCCCCGCCCCGCCGGCGAGGCCGGTAGGTACAGCTGCCTGCGGGGTTCGGTAGTTTTCATCCTTTCCGACAAACATCTTCCTCCTCCTACCTCCCACGGCCTTCTTCTCCACCGCAGAAACTTTGTTCAGGCGGCCTTCCTGCTGCCCGGCCCGGTTCTTTGCAGGCTGGCGGCTCTCTCGCTTTCTCTTCTTTCCTGGTCTTCTTTCCGGCTCCTCTTCTTCTTTCTCGTTCCCCCTCCGCCCCAGGCCTCACAGTGCGCTAAGCATTTTTAGAAACTAGGGCAAAAGGGGAAAAGAAGGAAGAGGCATTCCTTAGCTGGACTGTGTGTTTGTTTATTTACGCTGTAAGTTTGTCTGCAGGCTGTCATCTTTTTGTAGCAGGAATGTGAAAGTGAAGAAACTAAAGCGATTATTTCTATTTTAAATGTTTCTGAAGTTTCTTGCTAAAAGAAGTGTTTTGTGCTTCTCTGGTATTCTCCACCCCAACTTTCAAACTAATCACTAAACCTCTGATCTTGCATCTTGGCGGATGGTACTTAGCTGAGGCTTATAACACTTACCTGAAGCTGAAAAATATGACAGATGTGGTAGGTGAGAGACAAAGGGCTAAACCCGCAGAACCTACAGGCTGCACCTACTTCACGTCTGATGTCAGAAGGCTCCTCAAATGCTCCCTAATGGCTGTCGAGCTCTGAAAGTGCATAACATACTTGGGTGCATAGGTCTGATTAGTCCACTGCTGAACAGAATATTGCTCCAGCATCCAAGTTACACTTGTGTACTTATTCTGTTCATGTTCATTTTATTTGTTTATATAACTTGAATACTTGATTCTGGTATTTTTACTCTCTTTTGATGAAACTGTTGTGCATTGTATAAATGCTTCAATAAAGCACTACTTCAGTATGCTTGCTAGTGAGTATTACAGCTACAACAGATTTACATGAGCTAAAAAAAAAAAAAGCAGACAAGGTACTTGCATGTATGTTTGTTGTAGCTGAAGGAAGTGCTTAGTGGAGAAAAATATATTTAATAATAAACATGTAGGCACAGCTTGGCTCCAAGATCCCTGACTTACAAGTATCTAATGGGTGTTTTGTGAGTGCTGCTCACTTACAAGAAAAGTTATGTTTTAAAAAGAACTTTAGTTATTTTAGTTTAGTTTTTTTAGTTCTGACCTTTTTTGGCTATTTTAACATTAGTTTTTGAAGTCGTGTGGTGCCGAGATCACTAGACTGGAGTCAATATTGGTATAACTGGCACAATTTAGTATTTTACTATTTCATATACATTGAAACCACTGCAATAGAAAATCTAAAACCATCTGCACCATTATCAATGCTGCAACTTTTGCAGGCAAATAAATGGTTCTGGTGTGATGTTTGAACCTGTCTCACAGCTTGGGAACATACTTTAGTTTCTGTTGGAGTACGTGCAGATTGTGACTATGCCATGGAAAGGGTGATTAAGGCAGTTTTAACCCGATAAACAGGCCATGGTACAGGAGAACAGAAGTTAACTCCCGAGAAGGATTTGGCTCAAGATGCGCTTCTCAGGTTGGCTTTCTCTCCTCCGTCATTTTTTTTGCACTGCTTATTCATGGCAATGTTGGACTCATTCCCACCCTTGTGGTGTCTGTTGTGATACTGAATAGGGAAATAATTACATTGTTTCAGCTCAGTGAATTCTGTGGTAGAGCCATAGTAGAGATTTCCTAGCAACTGTGGGAAGACTCGGGTCTGTTTCAGGCGCTCTTGCAGCCAAGTGACTGCAAGTGAAATCAGAAGGTAAGAGACTTCACTGTACAGGAAGCTTATGCATGAATATTAATGATATGGCAGCTTGTTCAAAATTAAATGCTGCAGTACTTGGATGTAGGTTGTCCAAACAGAATCCAGCTCTTCTATTCACTTTACAGGGACTTAACTACATGAACACTTCTCTCCCCTAGACAGCAGATGTGATAACCAAATTATGGTGTTGCCCATGTTAAAGAACATATTGCCTGGAACTTTTATTTCTTTTAGTAATACAAAAAAGTTCTTAAGAAGACTGAGACAGTTATTGTGTATATTCTGTATGTGTATACATTAAAGAACTAGAGAAATTAAGTTTTAATTGCAGATGAAACAACATGAATGTTTCTGTCCTGAAAGGCTGTCTCCGTTCAAATTCCCTCAGCCACTTGCTTTCCTTCAGCATGACTGTCCTTACCTGCAACTTAGACAATTGTCTTTTTCAGTACACTGAAAAAGTACACTTTTTCAGCATACTGACTCTGTGCTGGAACAGGTTTACTTTCATTACCCATGGGTGTAAATAACTGTACAAGGGTAGAGGTGCATAGAAAACAATCTCTCTAGTGAGAACAAGCTTACGTGTTAGTTTTGGGTTTGGTAGTCAAAACTGAGTCAACTCTGTGCTGCTCAAATTAGAAGTGATGAAACTTTTTACATGTGTAAACCTCTGCTACGAAAACAGTAGACTTCTAATAGATATACTGTAAATAAATCATTAACCAGATAAGTTACTTCTGCAATGAACATGGTGAAGGATTGATTTTGAATTGTTTAAGCTAAAAGTTTTCAGAAGTCTGCAGATCACTGGTGAGATGAGGTCACTTTGCATTTCATTCCCAGTTTTGTAGATGAGGATTTCTGTGGCTTGATGCCAGTATACCTCTGGGAGTCAGAACTGCTTATGGGAAAAATTAGCATCAGAAAAACATTTACTTTCCTTTTAAGTGTTTTGGTTTTGGTTGTTTGGTTTTTTTTGGTGCAGCTTAGCTGCTGAAAAGAAGGTGAAATTGGGAGTATTTGACTATCTGTACTCTGTATGCAACCATAATGGTTTGATCCAGAAAGCACAATTAGAAACCACTGGCTGAAGCAGATGCCAGCTGTTTGCTTTGTGTGGCACAGGATTTCTAAAGCTTGCTTAAGTTTGCATCCCTGCAGAATTAGTCCCCTTTTGGCTTAGGAAGTAATGTTTTCCAGAGAAGATCTGTCTTTTAAAGCCCACTTTCCATCAGATTGTCAGGTAGAGCACTGTAAATTATGCATCTGCTGCTCTAACTGCTTCCGTAGCATGTGAACTGGCCAACTAGAGGTCTGAAACCACAGCAAAACTAACAAAACTAGAAGGACAGGCTTTTCAAGTAAATGTGATGTTTTCATCACCTATATACTTGGATATATTCTTCAGTGGGATACGCAGAATTATTATTCATGACAGAAGTCATAATTCAGCATAGTCTCAGTTACTTTGTATTCTCTTTTCATGGTATAATGAAAAAAACGAAAATTGCCATTTTCCCCTTCAAAATAGCAAATTGTTCTTGGTGGCAAGTTGTGTTATTCAGTGATTGAAATTTTACCTTGCTGGCCATGAGAAAGTGTGGGGTGTTTTTATTTAACAGAAATTATAGATTTTTATCTGTGATAAAGTACCATTAGTACTCAATTGGATGAGTACTCAATTTTCATGTTGGATGTGAAAAACAGAACTTTAGCTTCTCACAGACCCTGAAAGCATGTATCCCTCATGGTATCATGGAAGGATTCTGCACTTTCATGAAATGCTTCCTAGCTGATAATCATCAGAGGTAAGGACGCTATGACAGGGTTAGGTCTGTTAGAGCTGCTGTTACCCTACACCCAGCCACAGCAGTGCACACAGATGGTGAAGCGCTTAAAGGACTCTGCTCCAAAGTTGGGACACCACATATTCTGGTGATAATAGCTTGTGGTTAATGTTGTGGGAATGAAATCTAAGGCATCTAGACTTCAACATTTATAGCATGTGTCATCTATTGTTGATATAAATACATATCTTTTATTCATAGCATGAGAATTAGAGTCAGAATCTTTAAAAAAGAAAAAAAAGTTGTTTGATTTTTGAATAAACAGTGTACACTGGGTTGTGGAAGTGGCACACCAGTGTTACATTACAGTACATTACAGTAAGGTAAATTATCAAACTGTTTTTTTCCATTTCTTATTTTAAGTAAGTACATAAATGGTCTATTTGTTTAACATCTGTTCTACACAAACTTTGGGACACAGATTATCTTCTGAATAGATACCTATAAAGTAACTAGCACATGATAAAGTCCTCTATATTTTACTGTAATGCAAATATTAAAAATAGTCTCATCAAATGGCTTGGACTGCCATATGGAAGTTAGAAAAAAATTTTTTTTCGAGTAATTAAGTTGTTAATGACAAGAAGCAAAGGATTTAAAATTATATTAATCTACCTTATGTAATTTATACTTTTAGACAGATTTTTTTTGTGTGTGTGTGAGTTTCATATAAAAGACTTTTCCCAGAAAACAGAAATCTTTTTCTATGTAGTTAAATGTTTACCTTAGCCCAACTGCAGCAGCATCTGAGTTGCAAGGCTAAATGCTTGCAGAGGGTGCTTATATCTAAGTCTGAACATAAAGGTTACGCTTTTTTGTATTTAGTGCCTAGTGGAATGTTATTTTAAGTTATGTAGAATTATTTGGAACAAAACCACAAAACACATCTTTAACTAAGGCCTGTACTCGAATTTAATTTCTGTAGTTTAACAAATTAAACACAGTATATAGAGGAAGTTATTAATAATCTCAGAAGAAGTAAACAATTTGAAATCTGTTTCTGAAATTATATCAGCCAGAAATCAATAGTGGTTGTTGAAATAATGCAATGTTGAAGACATTTCTCTCCTTTTAACATTGGAAGGAAAAGAGATACTCTCAAGAAGTGCTCTGCAAGAGTTGTAAAGTAAGGCAGGGATATCATCCTAGAATAATTAAATAATCTGGTCATTGAAGAGTATTTTTTAAGATTTAAAAAAACAACATTCAAAGGCTGGAAATGACACCTAACCTATTTCTGCTGTGCTGGCAAATGCTTTTTAGTGGTCATTGATGTTTTTTCAGTCTATATTGTGATTAGAATCCTACTGAGAGTTCACAAATAAGTTACAGGAGATAAACTAGTGTTTGAATTTGCAGCATTTTAATAGTTTTGTAATAAAATGCCAACACACATGTTCTTATCTCAAGTAAATATGTGAGATATGTTGATCTGTAATGGAAGTAAAGTCTTTCTGCATAGTACTTAAGGTGTTAGTGTTGAGCTGTAACGTCTTAGTCTCTGCTTGGGGCCCTTCAAGTTTAATGTCAGCTCTTTCAATAATCAGCAGAGGCTTGAGATTGCTTCCATCATTTTGGAGATGAAGCAGGACTCCAGCTGAGCGTGTTCCTTGTCATCTACAATTCTCCTAACTCTCAAAATCACATCTCCTGCCTTTTTTGATTGTAGATATTTTCTGCAAAAGCCTGGTGTTTGAACAGTATATATGAGGCAGGGCAGAGGACGGATTATTTTTTTTTCCACAGTGAGGCTTATCTCTCTGTAAATCCATGACTTGAATCATTATGGGAATGTGAGAAGGAGGAACACATTTTCTTTTAAAAGGTTTTATGTTTTCTTTTAAGTATTTAGTACTTTTTTCCTGATTTTCTGTGCTGTAAATGTAGTAAGGTTTGTCTGTGGGGTATACACTACCTCATAATAGTATCTTCTGGATGAGGTTTTTATTAGATCACAACTTAAATAAGCAAATACTAAACTCCTAATTTCTACTAGATTAGTACTGTGAAGTTCAGAGTGCCTTCAAGCTGAATTTGTATTATGACCAACATGTATTAGAAGAATAAAATTGGAAATTAAAATAGTAACATTTATTCATAACTTACTGTTCTATGGGAGATGTTCAGTCTCCAAATACAATAAGCTAAGTGTATCAGAATCTAAACATTGCAGGAAGCTACAGAGCTTGATGCTGGGTTGAATATGAACCAGCAACGTGTCCTTGGTAGCAAAGAAAGCCAACAGCATCCTGGACTGCATTAGGAAGAGATTTTATCATCACCTGATGGGACGGTGTAAAGAAATGGAGCCAAACTATCCTCAGTGGTATACAGTGACAGAAAAAGTGGCAATGGGCACAAATTGAGGTACAAGGAATGAATTTAAAACATTTAGTATTTTACCCTGAGAGTGATTGAAAACTGGAAGTGGTTGCCCAGAAAGATTGTCAAGTCTTCATCCTTGGAGATACTAAAAACCCAAATGGAGAGAGTCCTGAGCAACCTGGTCTTACTAACACTGCTTCGAGAGGGGAGTACTGGACAATTTCCAAAGGTTCCTTTCAACTGTGCCTAGGATTCCTGGCATCTAACAGTTTCTTCACCTATTCTATAATTCTGTAAGATTTGGGTTTTTTTAAGAAGTGTTTTGATAGACAAAGGTGACAAATGCAGATGAAGTGCTCTGTTGCTTACAGTACAGGAACTCAGTTGACCTGATTACATTTAAGTTTGAGACTGTTTATAGATATTTAATTTTATAATGTAATGCTGTGTCTGTGTATAGAGCTGTGCTGGCCGGCCCTTTAAATCTAAACTGTATTAAAAAATAGAATGAGTTGGACCACAGGATGGTTAGTTTCATTCTCTTTTTTTTCAGGTAATGTTATGGTACCTGGAATTCTAAAACTGGAAGACAGTCCAAAGAGAAACAGTAATATTTGCCTTAGTAGAGTTTTATAGAGGCATTTTTTATTTGATGGTGAACATAGTTCAGTGTCCTTCTAAGTTCATGCTCATCGCAGTTATGATTGAGCCACAAAAAACATCTTTAAAAGACCTTGGAAGTTCTTTAAGGTACTGTTATTGCAAGATGTAATTCATATGAAAAGGTGCTGAGCACTCCAGAATCTATCAGCCAGAATAATCAAGTCATAATATTGCTATGTGATTTTGCTTATACTCTCTAATAGGCTTGTGCACTTTTAAAATAGTTCCAGAGAATTTGCAAGTAGAGTATAATTAGAATTATTTATTAGTGTGCTGCAGTGTGTCATTCTAGTGAGAACATTCCAGCGGCTCTCAGTAGAATTGCACTTGGATAACTAGCTGGTAAAACCCTGTGTTTTTTTTAATAAGCCTTCTGTTACTAAAGCCTATAATTTGGTTTAATTTTTATGGTCAGTTTTTCTAATTAAATGTATCATATTTTCATTTTAGTCTACTTAATATTTTACTAAACGTAGTTTCACCAGAATGAGATGCTTATAGTCTAAGATAAGGGTTCAGACAGAGTTCTAATGCAGATCAAAATGGTAACAAGTAATTATTTTGGTTATGTTTTGTACATAGATAAAGACAGAGATTCATCTGATGTGATTTTTATGATCCAAGTTACTATTAATAATTATATTGTTTATGTAGTTTTTGAATTTTTCTCTGTTTGGGCAATGGCAACTGTTAAAGTTTAGTATGGTTAGTATTACTTTCACATTCTCACTTAGGAGTTTTGTTTTGCTTGGTGCAGAAAGAATACAAGCATTTCAGGGCTAGATTTACTAATTTAGAAGCATTACCATTGGAGTTAAGACAAAAGTCACGGAATATTTTACTTGGTCTGAAATCTAGTAGGAGCTGGTCTGACTCAAAATTGACTTGATAGTGTCACATTAAAAGTATCTGAAGTGTATCACATTAAAATATCTGAAAAGTATTATTTTCATTAAAACTTACTGAACTGTAATATACTGAAAACCACTTTTTTCAGCAGTGCATAGGAAATCTTGCAACATTCTTGCTTAGAAATGGCAAGTGTAAAACAGCACGTTCACAGAAAGCTTTTGGGTTTGGGCTACATTTGTTTTTTTTTTTCTTGAGGGCAATGTGTAAATGTATTACTGAACCATTTTTTGGACTTTATTTGACTGTGAGAAGTTCTTGCATGTAGACTCTCATGAGAAATTTATAAATTATTTTATTCTCATTCATATAGTGAGGATAATAGGAGGGAAAAATAATCAAAGTTTGCTGTAGAATTGTGGAATTCAGGAATAGAAACAAGCCCCAGGTATATAGCACTACAGAGCATATTGTAGAGGCACTAATGGGGCTTATGACTGTGAGGAAAAAACACCTCAGGATTTAACATCTGAATCTTGAATTGTTACAGATTCTTTGTATGCCCACAGCTGTTGACTGCTGCTGAAAGAAGCAGGAGGGAAAAGAAGACTACAAACACATTCATCAGTAGGTATCTGCATAATGTAAATACCTAGTTACAGCCAGTTTGTTTCATACTTAATTTGTTAGGGGGTTTAATTAGCTCAGGTTCTATATGAAGTTTTAATTAGTGTACAGAAAACTGTAACTGCTCAGAACAGTTGATAAAGTGATGACAGCTCACTGTGTGGTCTGGGAAGAATCTCTTTGTTTCAGAAGAGCTAGATAATGTGAAAAAGATGTACTAAAAGGCAGGAACAGACTGTTAACTGAGTGGATTTGCAAGAGCAGGCAAACTAAAGAGGTGAAAAGACATCCATTTTGGCATGTTGTGCTGGGACAACTTTCTGTGGTAAAATGTTTCAGTGAAGGTAATGATTTTTGAATTTGAAACTTGCATAGGAATTGTCTACTTCTTTACTTGTCTTTTTGTTTTTTCCCTTTTGAGGCCTGTTGATGTCTCAGAATCAATAGTTGCCTGAAGGGCAGTGAAATAGGAGAGCTTTAGTGGTCCTGCGGCTTGCTTTGCATTACAATATTGCTGCTCCATTTAAAAGTCTCAAGTGTTTTCACTGTAGTGGAAGTAGGGGGGAATAGTCTCCAGTTTGGTAAACAGTGTTGTGGCTACATTAGCTAATTTAGAAGAAGGTGAGACGCGGCCCGGGAGCACTGGTGGCACATCTTGACACATTTGCAATCGAATGTTCATTTTTTCTGTGAGCATCCTGATAAATGAAGAAGTATGTTGACAGAAATTATCAGGTCAGGAGGAAAATTGAGAGTACTCCCTTGCAATTTATTACTTGTTATGCATCACAACTAGCAAAAATGGATTTTCATCTGAAAGGACCATGGAGCATATAGGAAATTACATAGGTTTAGAAATGGTTGCTGCAACATTAGATAGAAAAAGTATAACCACTGACTTTTCCATACACTTAGTTATGTTGATGCACGGATAGACTCCACAACTCATTAAAGTCGTAAAGTAGGTATGCTTTATTCAGTGCTGAGGCGCATGGGGGATAACTCCTCCAAAAGCGTGCACACCTCAGCGTTGTTTCCCCTTTATATTTATCCTCTAAAGTTATACATATGCATGAGATTGTACAACACGCCTATACATATTCATGTCCTATCCCTGCTTCGTATTATAATGAGCTAAGAAGTACTTTGCGCCTGCGCAGTGCCTCCAGGTGGTCATGAGCAAAGGTCTCAAGATGAAATAAACGAGTCTTCCTTGAGCCTGACCTTTTCACCTCTAGTCTTTACACATGCTCCCTGGAGGCATGGTTGTTGTCCAAAGTGCAGAGCCAATTTCAGCCGTCCTAGGTGCCAAGGGAATCAAGTTGTCCAAAGGCGCCAAGGGAATTAAGTCACGGTCCCTACCTCTTAGCAATAGCCACGTTCTTATATTTTGTTCTAGCATATACGGCTAGTACGATAAGCATGAACGAGTAGTAACATTGTTAAGTAAGCGGTTTGATCTACCCCCTTGTACATTGTAAGTACGAAAAGCATGAGCAAGCAGTAACGCTTAAGCAAGTGGCTTGGCCTAGCCCCCCGTACATCTGTTAACCTTTCATATCAATGTAAGTTTCTTTATTTTTACAAAGTAACCTAAATAACTGATCTCAGTTTTACATGTCTGAATTCTTTCTTAAAGGAAATAATGCTAAATCACATTTCGGTTTGCATGAAAACAGCCAAGCCCCCTGCAGTCCACAGATCATGACCTTAATGTCAGGAGTCATAAACTACTGCCTCACCTTTGGAGGGCAGACAGGAATGGTGTTTTGTGAGCACTTTAGAAGAATGATATGAAAAGGAGTGTCACTGCTCCGCTACTGAACAGGCTTGAGTATGGCTGTGCTGGGCATGTGAATGTTCCAGATTGACCTCAGCAATGTCTTCTGCATCACTGCTCCCACAGCCTTGAATTCAGATTGCCCAGAACCTGCAAGTCAGTGTAGACCCATTGCAGCTTACAAAATGCAGCCTTAGTCAGGGGGCTATGCTTGCCTGCTAAATATGGTTAACATCCAGAGATTTTCTACATTGTCACAAAATTGATGTTCAGATTGCATCTGAGATAAAATAGGTTTTGTTTTCTGTCATACCCTTGGCTTGGTTTACAAAAAAAAAAAGAAAAGTCATAAACCCTTCCATTTGTTGAAAAATATATGTAGGTCTCTAGTGATCTTAGTTGGGTCAACAGGGATGTTTTCTGTCTGTCTAAATCATACTGAGATTTTTTTTTATGGTCATTTTGTGGGTTGTAAGGCTTTTATAAGCTAAGTGCTATCAAAAGCCTTATGCTGTTCTGTTGAAATCAATTGGTGGTTTTGCTATTGCTTTTCAACAGTAGTAGGATTGATGACTGAAACTGAGCAGCTGTTGAAAGGTTAGTTTTAAAGTAGAATTGTGGTCAGAAAAGCAAAGTGACCCTGTCAAACTGGCATGCTGGGAGCACTACATTTATTTTTTCTCAGTGACTTCCAGACCAAATCTTCTCAGTTTACGAGTCAAACATTTTTTATTGACTTCCAGAATTGCAAAGTCAGCCTCAGTCTGCAAAATCAAAACTGTTACTTCTGCTTCAGTCTGCAGAAGGCTCTTCATTTAGAACTTGGTTGACATGTCACTGATGCATGGCTCAATCCAGCGTGCCTTTCTATGTCTGTCCTAACTCTGGAGGGTGAAAGCTGCCACAGTAAAATTTTATTTGTTAGGAGAGTAAACAGATATGATTTGCAGAGATAAGGGGATTTATAGGGGAAGTCAGGGCCATTTTTATATCTTTCTTCTTGTTGCATCTGCACTTTAATCCTTAATTTCTGCCATGATAACAATTTAATGTTTTCTTTAATCTGAGACTAGAGAGTCTAAACTGTCTTCATTGTAAAAGATATTTTCCAGAAGTGCTTAAATTTTATGATAAAAGCAATGATTTCAAGATCAGTTTAAGACTTCAGAAACCACACCTGCCCGAGGTGACTCCTCCCAGGTCGTGCAATTCCTTGTTTACTCTCAAGGGTTCGCCAGGTTACACAGGAATGTGTATTGGAGAACTAATTCAGTTTATTACTGAATAGCTCTTAACATTATATAGTCACAGAAGGGGCTTCAACAGATGCTCACCTGTCATAGCTGTGCCTTAATCTGACCCTGACCTAAGAATCTTGATGTGGCTCCTCAGGCAGCACATACATCATCTGATCTTAATTGCTTATTTGATTAATATACTATAGTTAAGATATATGCTCAGTTGTAAAGTTAAGGCCAAAGCTCTTCCCTTCTATCACAAGTGCAGCAAGGGCAAACAGATTCATTTAGAGTCCAGAGCAGAACATCATCTTTCTAATAAGGAGATTAACTAGAACTGTTGTTTCAGAGTTAAATATGTGAAGTAGCTTCCATTAGCAATGCTATGGGCTGTTTTAGAAGTTCCTCTGGATCTTTATGTCAGTTATCACAAAGAACAGTAGTCACTCCTGTGCCAGAATGTGTGTGTGCATGCTTGCTTTTGATGAAGCGCATATGACAGATGCACAGTTTTAAGACATGCTGATTTCTGCCATGCTTTACACCACACATTCTGTTTTGAGTAATGCTTTGTGGAACTTAAGTGTGTGGTCTGAAACAATAGCTATTTTTAAGGACAGCCAAGCATTACTGATTCTTCTGAAGTGTGAGCATATGCTAATTGAACTCCTTGGGTGCTACAAAAAGTTGTCAGATTTTTACCATGGGAGATTTTTTCATGTTTTCTCTAGATTTTTTTTTTTTTTTTTAATTCCTCAAATTCACCATCTGTGAAAGATCATAAAAGTGTTGGTGTTTGCCTTCATCTCTAGAGCTCTTCCTTTCTTCTGTAGATTGCAGAATTGTTAGTGACTTTGTTAATCTACTGGAGGTGAGACTTTTTTGTTTTAATGAGAATGTGATATGGGAGGAGCTGCTTGTTGATCTCTTTCTGCTTCCTTGGTTGCTAGTAAACCTTTGAAGGGTAGAGGAAGGTTGCTCCTCCTAGAGAAAGGCTGAGCATGTATAGATTAGAGAAATTTTTGTGAGCTGGGTGTTACAAAGAATGGGATAGAGAAAGTAAGGAGCAGGGAGAAGGTTGGAGAGTAAGAAGGTGAAGTGAAGCAGAAAGCTTCTCTGCAGCGGGGCTACAGCAATATTTTTGGAGGTGGTAGAAAGAAAGCTCCCTTGAACATCCAGAGGGTTGTTTCAGCCAGCAGCTGCTGAATGAGACTTGGAAAAGTTCCAGTCTTCAAGATTACCCCCCTTGGAGTGGAGGTTGGTTTCAAACCCAAATCTTTCTGTTTAGTGTCTTGCCCTGCAGATGTTTTCTCTTTATGAGGCTTCTTCCCTCCATTCTTTATTTTGGGTCCACTCAAGAGCCAGTGTCAGAAATTCTGAGTGTTTGGTATTTGTTGATGTGCTTGCTTTTTAAAGAAGTTAGCAAGTTGCTCTTACTTTTCAAATTGTGGTAAGGTGTGATTATATTTTCACATGGATCCAGTGTTCCCTTTGTATTGAGTTGTGTAATCTCTTCAGGAACTGGAACTGTGATCTCTTTTCAGTTATGTAAAAAGCCTGTGTGCAAACATATAGTAAAACTAAACCATTTATGCATCCAGATCAATGCATTGAATCCATGATCCACTGTGTTCTACTTTGCTGTTTTGCTGTGTGGGCCTAGCTCAGGTTAGTAGTACAAGCACTGAAGTTCCTTTTCTAGAAATACCCACCTCTTTAAAACAAAAACCAAACAATGAGGAAACAAAACCAAGAAGCAGTCCAGCAGAAACAACAAAATCCTCTCCCCATCCCTATTTGGGTAAGCAAACAAACAAAACCACTAGAGCGATTTGAAGTACTCAAATAAATGACGTATTAACCTTAGCTCTGCCAAAGGTTCTTCTCTTTGGCAAAAGAGCCCCCACATCTTTTAGACAACAGTGAGCTTATGGTTAAGAGGCAGCCTCATAGCAGGATGTTTTTGTGCTTGAGCTTATTGACTCA